GAATTATTTGTGTTGTTATTACAAGTGTTGCTGTGACCCCCTAGGAAAAGGTTATGCCCCGCCCTGTACTGTAAGAATTCCAGTTAGAACAATTAATCAGTGGAACAGCTTGCCTCCAGAAGTTGCCAATGCTCCAACACTGGACGTTTTGAAGAAGATGTTGGGCAACCATTTGTCTGAAACGGTATGGGGTTTCCTGCCTAGGCAGGGGGTTGGACTAGAAGACCTTTAAGGTCCCTTCCAACTCTGCTATTGTATTGTATTGTAAATCCCCTAATCATCTTTATTGTTCTTCTCTGCACTCTTTCTAGAGTCTCAACATCCTTTTTACATCCTGGCGACCAAAACTGAATGCAGTATTCCAAGTGTGCTTTGTAGAATAGCTTGACTCTCTCTGCTTTGTGGCAATCCCTGAACCCACAGCAACAAATGAACGAGATACTTTCCCATCATTTCAAATGAAGATAATCCAGAAGGCAAGGGAACTCGGACTGGAGGAAGGATGACACGCACGCGTGCGCGCGCACTCACCCACACCCTCTGCACTTTCTCCTCCGCAGGCTTTATGAGGTATAAAGCACCCGGCCCCATAATCCACAACCCGAACCCAGCAGGTTCCTTTTCCATTGAAATGCTGAGCTCGGAGAGAAACAGGGACTGAGCTACGTGCGCATCTCATTTTCCCACCACCCCACCCCGAGAACAAAATCAAAACGCTCCGTAAGAGATCGAACTTCCTTCCGAAACTATTCCGCTGCCGATTCCCTTGCTTCTAACGAAAAGGATGCTTAGATATAAGGCAGAACGATGTTGGCGACGGGCGCTTAAAATAATCATAGTGCAGCGGTTTGCCGTTGAATAAAACCAATGATTAAAGTGCGGCGCTAAATAGAATATCGTCTGATTTCAGTGAGAAGGCTTAGAGCCAAATAAATGGCAGTTGTCCTTCTAAATGCCGAGCTTATTGATAAGTAAGAACGAGTCTTAACACTCGGAGTAGCATCTTTTATGAAATCAATCAATCGTCAATTAGTCAAAGCATTTGTATGGAGAACGGCGGGTTTTCTGTCTCAGATCCCCACTCACCTATAGTTTTAGCTAATTATGCAGAGTTGTCTGAGAATAGCTTTCCAAGCCTATGTTGTGTGGTGCGCCTGTTGAACATCTTCCTCTTGTATAGTCCGATTCAGAATGTTGGAAAAAAAACACATTATGGACTTCCTTTTAATGCAATGAGGGAACATGTCTCAGTTCCTTCCCAGTATTTCTCAGTTTGATGTCCTTTTTCTTACCACTGCCAATAGACTAGAATAGACTAGACTAGACTAGACTAGAATAGGATTCTTTATTGGCCAAGGGTGATTGGACACACAAGGGATTTGTCTTTGGTGCATGTGCTCTCAGTGTACATAAAAAGACAAGATACATTCATCAAGAATCCTAANGGTGTGGCCTGCTTTGTGGGAGTGGCTTGCCAGCCATGTGACTGGGTGGGCATGGCCAACTTGTAAAATGTGGTGAAACCCACTTAACAACGCTCTTATTTAACAACCAAAATGTTGGCTCAGAAACTCTAGCATTTGAAGCACACAACTCTTAAAGCTGTCAAGTTACAAGACCTTGCACCCCTAACCCTTTAGAAAAAAAACCCCAGGACTGTTCAAACTTGACAGCTTTAAGACTTGTGGACTTCAACTCCCAGAATTCCTCCTTTGGCTCTTCATCTTGATGATGTGCGGATGTGTGGGGGGAGGGAGCTGGAACTGGTTCTAAACAGCACTGTAGATTTGTGGAACCTCTTCTATAGGTTAGAACCGGCAGGAACCCACCCCTGAGTCTACCATTAAACCATATTTCCAAGCGGCCTCCATGTTTCCAGTATCTTTTTCCCCACTTGGAGCTGAACCCAGAAGGACATTTCTTCCAACACTCCTTAGAAGCTTAGATTCAATTCTCCACATTGGAGAATTTGTTGGTGAAAGAACTGAAGTCTATATATATATATGGAGATGGCTGTGCTGAGGCCCTGGTTTTCTAAAGTGAGGTTTCTTATGAACTTACCTTAAACAAACTACGTCATGTATCATAGTTCCCCAAAGACAACAACACAGTGTGTCATATCAAAACAAAACTCACTTTATATATATAGTATTTGACATCAGCCATGAATCTTAGACGTTTCCTTAGAAGCTCTTATATGCAGGTCCATTTTAAGATCTTCAGCAGGTTGTCTTTTTATGGATCAGCCTGGTTTGCAATGGATGGGAGACCACCAGGAAAAACAGAAACAGAAAAGCACCTCAGAAGGAAGTGACTGCAATCCATTGCTATGTCTTGCTTCAAATGGACTGTATAGTCCCCAATAGTCCAGTTCCATCCACCAAAGTCTTTTATTTTTTTAAGAATGCATTTGCTATTAAATCTGAATTCTGAATGTACAAAATAAAAAAGCCAGAAGTTATAACAGAATAAGTATAGTTATTATAGAATATAATATAATAGACTCTATTATATTCTATATTATAGAATAGAGTTGGAGGGGACCTTGGAGGTCTCCTAGTCCAGTGTTTTTCAACCTTTTTTGTGCAAAGGCACACTTTTTTCATGAAAAAAATCACGAGG